AACCATATTTTGAAGGAACTGCATTTCTAATTTTATCCTTTTTAGAGTCATTAGAAGGATGAAAGATATAAGGCTGTTGTTTTTTTCCATGTATTTTAAGTTCACTTGGGAATGTTGGAGCTAAATAATCCATTAAATTTTGATCTTCTTTTTTTTCTTTAATTGTGTCAAAATAATTTGGTAAGATAACTGGAACTTGACATATAATACATAACAAATATGGAATTGTTGGCCCTTCATTGTTCGGATCAGTTACTAAAAATGTTCCTCTTAAATCTTCACTATAATCATATCCATGGAAAAATCCATCACTATTGTCAAACTCTGGTATAACATGTCGTTGAAATGGTGGATATCCTAATTCTGTTTTTCCTCCAAATAACTTAATAATTTGTTCATACTTTATCATTAATTGTTCATTACTTCCAAAATAAAAAGTATTTCTTGCTAAAAATTTACTAAAAGCCTTTGGTATATCTCTTTTATTTCTTGATTCTTTAACTTCTTTTTCAAGTAATTCTTCTTCTTTAATAATTTGACCTTTTTTTTCAATTAATTCTTTTTTAATTAAATCTGCTGTTTTATGTTTTTTAAGTTCTTGTTCTGGTATTTGTTCTATTATTGGTTCTGATGCCGGTTCCATTACTTGTTCTGGTATTTGTTCTATTTTCTTTGTTTTTCTTCTTTTATGTCTTTCTTCTGAAGTTGTTGTTCTTGATGAACTAGATGAACTTCTTGAATACCTTTTTCTCTCTTTTCTTTTTCTTCTTCTACGTTGTTCTTCTTCTGAAGATGAAGAACTGTCTTTTGTTTTTCTATGGTGCCTTCTTTTAGAATGTCTTGAATGAGACCTTTTATGTTTTCTTTTTCTTTTTCTTCTATCGTCTTCTGAAGATGATGACTCTGAATCTTCACTTGATGAATCTGATGTTGAATGTCTTCTTCTTCTTCTTCGATGACGTCTCCTTTTTGGTTCATCTTCAGAAGACTCATCTTCTGAATGATCTAAACTTCTTTTTGAAATCCTTTTTGATTTATGTTTTATTGGATCGTCATTAATAATTCTAGCTTTTGTTTCTACTATTGGTACTTCACTTGGTATAGTTTGAGCAATTGTATCTTCTTTTTTTATTTCAATTTGTTGAGTGTCTTGTGTTGGTAAAATTATTGTTGATTTTTTTTTATTTATTGTTTGAGTCTCTTCTTTATTTAATTCTTCATCCATTTTAAATGCATCTTCTATAGTGATTTTTTCATTTGTTTTAAAATATTCATCAACAATACTTTGAGATAGTACTGTTGGTTTGTCTTTTGAAAAATAAAACAATGCATTAGCAATTTGAACAACACTATTCGAAAGTAATTGAAATTGTGAAAAATATGGAACGATACAGTGGTTTACAGTTACATCACTTCGATTACTAAAATTTAAAAGAAATCCATGATCATCTTCTTTGTTTTGTAATATAAAATCACAATGATGTGGAAGAGTATTTGCTATTCGTACGTCTGTTTCTTCTGAACCAAATGAAGTTGATAATCTTTTTACGTTAAACGAAAGGTCAGTTATCACCCCATTCTTGATTTTAGTGAAATATAATTTTGTCATCGAGATCCTTGTTAATTATTTTTCTAAGTTCAATTTTTTTCTTTTTTTATTATTAACTTCAAAAAACAAAAATCTTATTCTGTTTTATCTCTTTGTACATTTTTTATAGTATCATTCTCTACTCAATAATATGAACATTTTACATATCAAACATTCTGGGAGTTTCTCTAAACGATAATGAAAATAAAAAGAATTTCATTTTAGAGGAATTTTTCTTTTGTAAAATAATTTTTTTAATTGTTTTGAACATAAATTGAGTTTTTCTTTTTTTTTTATTTATTCTTTTCTGTCATATTAATTAATATCATTTACTCTAGTTATTATTTTTCTTTAAAAAAGGAAAAAATGTTAATTAATCAATTTATCATAACGTAACAATTAAAAAAAGGTTTATGTTTTTATTAACTATGATGATTATTCTTGTTAAAAAATTTTTTATTTGAATAACTATTCAATTAATAAGTTATTTTAGAAATTTATTTTAATTATTTATTTAACACTTTATTAAAATTACTGTGATGTGTTTATTTCTAGTTATCATATATTGTTGTTCATTATCTTTAATTTGTAACTACTTAACTTCTTAATAATTTATGAACAGATAGAGAATAATAAAACATAAAATATAAATATTTTTCTATTCTACTAATTATTGATTTGAACCAAATTGTAATTAAATCAAAAAGATTATCTACATTTAATTTTGTTTATTTTTATTTCAAGTCATTCACAAATAATATTTTATTAATTCTTTCAATGAAAAATCATCAAATAAGAAATAAATAAATATATATATAAGTCAATTTAATGACATCTTCTATAACTCATTAATTACTCATTATAAACCATTTGTGTTTAAACAATTGACTTACCATTGAAATTTAATATATCATATATCTATTATATTCATGGTTTTTCTATCT